GCTCGGGCCGCGCTCGCGGCTCGGTTCCTCGGCTCGTTCGCTCCCTCCTCCCGCGGCCCCGCGGCGGCGGCAGCAGAGCAGGCGGCGGCGGCGGCGGCGGCGGCTGGGGAATCAGACATGGCGGCCGACCTCAGCCTGGAGTGGATCTGCTCCCTGCCCCGCTCCTGGACGTACGGGATCACCAGGGGCGGCCGCGTGTTCTTCATCAAGTACGCACCGGGCGGGCGGCGCGGGCTGCGGGCGGGCGGGCGGCGGCGGGCTGACGGCGGGAGCGGCGGCGGCTCTGTGGCCCCCGGCCCCGCGCCCTCACGCCGGCTCTCTGCCCCTTCTCTCCCCTCAGCGAGGAGGCCAAGAGCACCACCTGGCTGCACCCCGTCACCGGCGAGGCCGTGGTCACCGGACACCGGCGGCAGAGCACAGGTAGCCGGGCCGGGCGGACCAGGGGCGGCGGCAGGTAGAGGGGCCGGGGCGCTGCTCTCGCGGCTCTCGGTCGCCGCGGGAGACGGCGCCCCCTTCCTGCGCCCTCAGCCCACCCGGGCCGGGCGCCCCACGCCCCGCCGAGGGCCGACGCCCCTCTCTGCGCCCTGCGATCAGCCCGAGTTTTCCCCCGGCCACCTTGTCCAAGTCCGTTCCCACTCTCCTGCACCCCGAGACCCCCGCCTGGCCGCCTCCCCCGGTAGCCGCGTCCTCCCACCGGGCTGTCCTCCGCTGCCTCCCAGGTGGGACTTGTGAGGAGGTGACTGCCGGTGGAGGCGAGCGCTTCGCGGGTGGCTGGGAAGGGCTCGGAGACGCCGGGCGCGTCCGCTCCCTGATGCAGGCGGAGCAGCCCGAGCCGGAGGAGGCGATCGCAGCCACGATTCTGAGCCCCCGGCTGCGGCACAGAGGTTGCGCGGGGCGTCGGGAGGCGGTGGGCGAGCGAGGGGGTGTCCCGGGTGTGGGTATGGGGGCCTCCAGGTGCAGGGGCTCGGCGGGGAGACGCTTCTCCCGGGTGGCCCTGGTGGCGTGCTTGAATGCTAAACGTGAGTTGGGCTGGAGAGGGGAGGGCTCCTTGTCATTTCAGTGCTGGTCTGGCTTTCTTTTGTCATTCTTTGTTTACATTCGTGGAACTTGTTTGTCTGAGATGTAACATGTGTTCTCTTAACTGGCCTGCCCGTATTTTTTGGTGATTGGAAAGGCTCGAGAACTGTTTGGGTCGGGAAGTGAGGAGGGTTCGAGCAGACCTGCCGAGCTGCCCTCCGGGCTACTTTCTCTCCAACTCGAGATTCTGCGAAGCTCTCCAAGTTGCCAGGATGTTGAGCAAACCTGTCTTTTCTATCAAACGCTGGAGTTCAGTGAAATGACTAATGTGTCCAAATTTGCAAAAAGGTGGAGGAGGAAAGGGAAGGCTGCTGTAGCAGGCGTGACGAGGTTACATTTTCCAGCACTTCTGACTAATAGACCGTCCTATTTCTTAACCCCACTGTGCGGGACTTCAGCTTGAGTATGCCTTTTAGGTGTTTTGCAATCATATTTCAACTTTGATGTATTTATTGCTTTTATAGATAGTAACACATTTATTTCATAGAAGACAATATGGTATTTAAGTTATTTAGCCTAATCGTTCTTGTGGCGTTATTCCATGCCTGTTGTCGGTTATGTGTAATACATATGTGCCCTAATTGCACTCATAGATTTGGTAACATTCATGCGACAGAAAATTGTTATGCTCTGGTTGCTTTCACGTGATTTTTTTTCTTTCATGGTTTGGTTTACTTTGGTTGGACCCTGGTCTTGTGCAGACCTCAGTGGCTTCTTTGGGAGAGGTGCTAATGAAAGCCAAACCACTTGTCATTTAAAATAATATGTAGCACAGAAAGATACTATTGTTCACCTCAACCATTCCTAAGTTTATTGCTTGAAACTTCATTTCAAGGGCATGGAAACACATCCATGGAAGTATTCGTTGTCAGATTTCTTTTCCACTAATTAAGTACCTAGAAGCTCTTCCTTTTCTTCACTGGCACTTCCTAGATGGATTCATTTGTGCGGCCAAGAAAGAGAATCCTAAATAGACGCAGTACACCTTAAAGAGGCAGATGTTACCTGGTATGCACAATTTGGGGGGGGGGGGTTGCCAGAATTAACAGGTATTTTTCTTGGAATTAAGAAAATTGCTCTTTGCTTTTTAACACACCAGATCATAGCTCCTTTCCACCCTGATCACTAATGGGTATAGATCATGTCAGATACTGTAATAACTAATATCGTGGCTAGTTTTCAGGTGGTTTTAAATTTGAATTGCTTTTTCCCAAAATGAAGTGTCTACTGTTTGTTTTATGACCAGTCCACCGTTTTTTAGTTAAAAGCCTACTTGAAAATGAATAACTAAAATGGATTGAAACTTTATTTAAAGTGACACTAATTGCAATTATGTGTTTTTTAGATTTGCCTACTGGCTGGGAAGAAGCATATACTTTTGAAGGTGCAAGATACTATATAAAGTGAGTTTAAATTTTTCCCTTTAATAATTCAAATGCTGTGATTATTCCTTGGTTCAGTGATTTATGTTGAGACATGGTTGTGATTTCTTAAGGTGTATCATATATAATGCTGACTATTTTATGTAGTGTTAGAATTTTGAGAGAAAAAAATTGTGTTCTTAGTTGAAAGACTATGTATTTATTGATTTGATTTTAACATAATGTCATGTATGGCCACAGTTAATTTTGGTCCTTCTTTATATATTCCTGGATAGAACATTATAGTTTTTTGTGTTTACCTATGTGACAAAATTTTGGTCCTTGATTATTTCACTGACAGAGCAAACACATGAAAATCTCTGAATGATGTTACTATCTTTTTTTAAAAAAAGTGAATTGTGTTTATATGTATTTTGATTGGAGAGCTTATAATAAATAACAAAAATGATGTAAAGCTATGTATAGTCTGATGAAGAGGGTGAAAGCTGAAAGTAAAAAACAACAGTACATGGCGACTATCAGCAAACATTTGTTGGAGCAGTTTGTAATTTTACTTCAGTATATCTAAGGGATTGTCTTGCACTATTGTGGCTTGTGCTTGAGTACAAGGCTTTCAGTAGAACTTAAGAGGAAAAATGATTAGATAGTCCTGTCCTTAAAATCAGTTCTGTTGAATATTGACCTAACTTCAATGCCAGGATAACTTGGTAGTGCTGGAGGTCAACATTATACAGAACAGATTTAATCTCCCAAGGGAAAATACAGATGGTTTGTCTTTGTTTTAAGTTGGAAACTGCTTAAGAGCTTTGTTTTTGTTGCTTAACATTGCTTGGTATAATTTTAAGGAGCTACCTCTTGAAAGTAAATGTTGAAATACAAGATTTGGTGGAGATTTAGGTAGCTTATTAATAATAACAGATACCTAATTGAAAAAACATGTGTTGCATTGGGCCTAGTAAGTTATTTTTACCAAGTGACATTTTTAAGATCATGCCATGGTTCTATTAAATTATAATCACTTGTATGATTCTTTAAGCTTTTTTTCAAAAGCATATTTATGTAAAATGTCAAGGAATATTTGTAGGTATTAGAAATGGTTGCTTTTGGATGTAGAATTAGAGAAAGCACAAGTGAGAAGCAGGAATGGAGTGATGTCCTGGTGTAATCCTTCTCCGGATTTTTGTTGTTCAATTTCCTGTTTGGAGATTGGTCCGGGCCCTAAAAGCTGAAGGGAAGTGTAGGCAGCAGATATTTTTCTAGTGATTATTTTCATCTTGAATTAAAGTGAGTTTACATCTCCATAACAAGGGATGTTTTCCCTTTTTCGATGTAATATTGGTGTTCTAAAGGAAGACCTTTTTTCTTACTAACTGAAATTTTGACTACTGTACATTAAGCCTAGCTGATCTTACAGGAATGGGTAGCACTTTAGTTCTTTATTTTAACTTCTACGAATGTGTATATTCTTGGGCAATTGTTTTTTGACAGCACAAAATGTTATTTTGTGTAGGCTGACTATGTTTGTTTTAATTAGAACTGAGCTGTTTGAAAGGCTGTTTTCGGTTTTATTAGCCATTTGAATTGGATGCTCTTTTTTAACAGCAAATTAGAATCTTACTTGGGTGCTACGTTTCAGTAAGTTGCTCAAAAATTAGGATAATATTAAGAAAGCAGTAATAATTTTACTCTAAAATAATTTTAAACTAATGTATTTTAACCATGTGGGATTAATGGCTAGTGACAGTGTCCAAAAGTACTAACGCAGTTATACTATGAAAGTAATTCTCTGTAATATTGAGAATATCATAAAAATCATTCATTAAACTTCTTTTATGTAAACTAACCACTAAAAGTACAGGGGTTAGCCAGGCATGCTGGCACACTGCTGTTATCCCCACACTCAGGAGGATCTCCATGAGTTCAGGGCCAGCCTGGGCTACATAGTGAATTCAAGACCAGCCACAACTGCATAGCAAGACTTGTTCAAAAACACAAATTAATACAAATTCAGGATTTGCTATATGTTAGTTGCTACTGTTTTACCCTTCTGGGTGTATCATAAGAATAGATTAGTTAAATCCCTAATGCAGGCTGTCCTTCCCTAGAAACTTTATCCTTAAATTGTAATTAGAGATGCTTTCTCATTCTACTCTGAAGGGGCACTTTACAGAACGTTTGACTGTATTATCAAGTCTGGATCTCATTTTAATCATGGAAGTAGTCAAAAGAGTTACTGCTTCCATTGTCCCACCACATAATAAAACAACAGAAACACGCCTTTGGAACTTATGTTCTGCAAAGACAGCACAATGAGAAACAGCAGGAATGTGAACTATATTTAGAATATTCAGCATAGAAGAAAAGGTAGTAGTCTGAACTAGGAAAGTGATTCATTTCGGACTATTTTCACTTGTTTCTTACCTAGATGAAGAAGGAATTATAAGAAAAGGAGGCAGTGGAGTGAGCAGGGGGTGGACTTTTGGGGCTTTGCTCACATGGGAACACAGAAGGTCCCGTAAAAGACACCTTGGCCCTCTAGCTGGTCCTGATCTGTTTTCTGGAAAGCTTCCAAAGTAATGAAGAACTTAGGCTGTCTCTGCTTTGGTTCTCAAATATGAAGTACCTTGAACTCTCAAATTCTTCCTTTCTTGAAAAAATGGGCAGTGCCATGTAGTAAAATTTCTGTTTGGAGAATATTTTTGTATTAATCATTGCATCTTCCTGGGTCCTCAAGGAAAGCAAACATTATTCTTCTTATTGTTATGATTATTATTATTGTTGTTGTTTTCATGTATTTACTACAGGGTCTCACTACACAGCTCAGACTCATAGTGCTCTTCCTGTTTTTGGCCTCCCCAGTGCTAGGATTACAGGCTTGTGCCACCAGGCCGGATCTCTGGGCCAGGCTCAACTCACCTGGGGTTGGGGCCAGCACAGCAGGTGGTGCTAGGGATCAAACCCTTGTCCTTCTGCTTGCCTAAGCAGACTCTTGGTCCTGCCAGCCTGGAAAGTAAACATTCTGGTGGCCAAGTCATAAAAGCTGGACTGTGTTCTTGCCCTTGTTACAGCTTTGGAACTCAGTCTTCACATCTTTATAGTAGGCTAGTTGTAAAATCTACCTCAAAATACCACCCCATTTATGACCTTGTTTCAATTATATTCTGTTCTGGGAATTTGCAATATTGTAGAAAGTGATGAATTCACAGTGCCAAGAAGAGATGATGCGGGAAATACGAAAATCTTCTTAGCTTTCTTATCCAGATTAACTGTCATATTCTTTTAATTTAAGGTTTGTATAGATAAGCAGAGAAGCGAAGTGTGTCGTGCCAGAACTGTGTGCATTTTTTTCTGTTGCTGCCTTTTGTGCTTAACGTTTCCTTGTACGATATTTGTATGGTATCTTCCCTGCAGTGCTTTATGGAAACCATTAATAGTTTTAATGTCAACAAAGGACCTGTTTAGAGTGTTTCACAGAATTGAGTAGGATAATCAATTTACCTTACATGCTTAAAAATTGGTTCTTTAAGTCTACAGTTAGGTAACAAGATGGATAATACAGAGAACGTATTTTACTTTACATCCACTTGCCAAAATAGTGGTAATACATGAAAATCTTATGGGCACATGTTAATTATGGTACTTTAACTTTTTATGAAAAAAACTCTTAATTTTCATGCATCTTAAGCTAACTTACCTCTAAATTACTTTT